AACCACAGCACCCACTTAACAGACTATCACCGACTTTCCTGACACACCGACAGTGTCCCCAAACTTCTAATCCAGATGGCCCGGAAGGAACTTGCATCACTTAATATCCCGATGAATCCTTTTCACCATATACACATGCCTGGTTGGTGTGGTGCCTTGCCAAACACCCGGTTCTCGTTCAGTTTTACTATCGGGTCTGATTGCCAATAATCATCCTTTACATAGTACTGTTAAGTGGGTGCTGTGGTTTGGATGAACTTCATAAGGGCATGAGTAGGAAAGGTAGTGGCTTCGGCTTGCAAGTACTTGTCCTTGGACTCAGCGTAAGTTACTGAAAGTCTAGGTTAGCCAGATTGTAGGTATAGAAAGCTCTAGCAACGATGTCTCGAGAATAAATTAGTTCTAAGGCTACGGTATGCATCCAGAACTTCTTGATTGACAAATATAGCAGAGATGTTCTGGTGATACAAGAGGAATGTGTACGTTACAGAGTGTTTAAATAGGTAATCATTTAGTTGAGTTATAGGTATAGCAGCTAATGTAGAACCTATGGTGTAATACCAATATGCAGACTACTTAAATAGGTGCTCAAAAGATGTACATGTAGCTAGTTGTATTCTCTAATATAATTGGGGTTCCGTTGTGAACTCCCTACCCAATATACTTAAATAATACCCCTACACCAAAGAGGTTAGTTAATTAAAAAAAAAAAAAAAAAAAGTAAGGGTTAATTAGAGGTTAAGGTTAGAGCAAGGCTTATAGATAAAATTGTTTTTCTGCTATTTTTTATTAGGTTCCAAGGCAAATTTAGATACTTGTTGAGAAGTTCCTTAACTTCTAGGGGTTTTCACTCAATTTGCACTAACAAATAGCACTCACTTGGTTATTAGAGACTGGAGTATCATACCAGTTACTTCCACCTTTAATTTCACATATACAAACACACAGTTTATACTTTAAGTATCTTTATTAATTAACTACTAAAGCTAAGCTAAGACTAACTCTAAAGCTAAAATTAACCATTCTTATTTCTAAGATCTTATCTCATTTAAATAATCAAGATTATGCAACGCGTTAGTTACATGAACCTGATCTTATGCAGATCACAGCACCATGAAATCCAGAGGCATGATTTAACCCATATTATGAGCTAGACCCCCAGAACTTCGTCCCTAAAGTTACAACTCATGCAAACACACTTATCTACACAAATGGTCTTATTTGCAAAATAGCTATACTAATGTAAAACCCTATACTATCATATTAATATAAAATGTTTTAATATCAAACAAATATTCAACTACTAAAATATAACTAGCAAACAACTTCACTAATTAATACATTATTTCAATATTCCCTATACACCATCATCATACAATTTCAATGTTCATTGTAATGATTACATCTGAACTAGCAACATTGTTCTGCATTACATAATCTTTTAGAGTTTTTTATACTATGTTCAACATATTTTTCAGCATCCATATCAGGATTTTTATTCCATGTTGATAATAGTATCCAACATTATTTTTTTCACTAGTAATCTCCACACTACAATCTCCAAGATCATTTTTGGGTCTCTTATTCTTTAACAGAGTATGATCATCAAATTTCAGATCTATAATAACCTTCCTTTTGGTCTCAAATCTATTTTCATAACAACATCCATGATTACGTGTTGCATCAGCATAACCTATATTGATATCTTCTTGATGATTATCTGCTAAGAAATTGTTTATTTTATCATTAATTTTATTTTGATGACATTCATCAATAACGTTATAACTAACATTATATATTTTATTTAT